GCATTTACGTTAAAAGGCTTTGAGTGCAAACAGATTCAGACTCGGCATGGATTAAAACTGCACTCGAAATATATTTAAATGACTGTGCAATGTAAACGGGGTCGCTGTGCAGTTAAACCAGGTATTAACACCTCGGAGAACCAAAGATCCTAAAGCCCACATAGGTATAAATCATTGTAGTGCAAGTGGGGCCATAGAGAAATTAAACATTAGAGTGATCTTATAGCACAATAACTTTCAACAGAGAGAATGGCATCCCTCCCGCTTGCACAGCATGCCCGGTCGCCTGTTTTCAGTACTATGTAACTATGGCAGATAGAAGTGTGTATGGCTTTAGGGCACTAGTTCCAACACCGGCCTTAATCTAAAAACAAGCCAGTTAGCCCGTCTCAGTGTTATTTGACTCAATGGCTGAGACTGAGATGGAAGAGGACAGTGACAGAGGAAGTTAAGGGGAAAAGAGAGAGTGACTGAGCTAGAAGCCAGACTAGACTAAATAGGCTTTTACATGTTGGTGATAGCTTGGTGAAACAGTAGGCTGCATGTCTGGCGACAAGCTGGCGATGTCAATGCGTACACTATGTGAGTAGTGACATAGAAGTTGCACCCAGTTACCTTCAGTGGGCGCCCAAGTGCACAAAATCAAAATCCAAAATTTCATAAGGTTGCTTTAAAAAAATGCTTTTTTTTGGGGTTAAAAAGAGCAGCTGAGTCCCTGTTGGGCTTTTCTTTGAAGTTGGTCGTCCTTTAGTGAACTCGGTCAGAAAGCTTTGTCGTAGTGACAGTTAAGGGAAAAATGAAATGCTCTGACGGAAGAGCGCCACATTGATCCTAAACAACATCTCAATCAAGCTGCATGATTTCCAAAGCCCCAGTACACCTTGGGAAGAAGCATCCTCAAACAGAAAAGTTCCCCTCAGCTATCAAGACATCAAATCCGCTCTTAGTGGGTCTTGATAGAATGATATCAGTACAAGCTGATGCAACTCGCCGGGGAGTTATGAAACTGTGCTCAGCTTCATCTGCTCAATGAAAATTTCATCAGCGGAATCTTTTCCAGGCCAGGACGGGACAAGTGTGAGCAGAGCGGGTGCAGCTCTCTGGCTGCAGATTACCGAAAACACTCAGCAACGACAAACACAGCAGACTCAAATTATAGCAAAGGACATTTATATTAGAGCTACTGGCAAGTGATCAAATGCATGTGAGGGTCGGTGTCACAAACAATCCATCTGCAAATGATTCAGTGTAACAAAAAACAGAACAAACAGGGTAAAATACCCGTGAAATGAATATGAAAGTTATTACATCCCCTTTTAATAAATAGCAGCCAGCAGTCTAGATTTAATGTCTGACAGTTAACAGTTTGGAGGATGTGGTTTTGAAATATCACCCATATCTCTCCGAGTATCATCGAGTCAGCATGAAAAGTTCATTTTGAGCTGGAGACCTCGTGACTCAAGGTGTCCTGCTCACTGTGGGCTGTAGGTTATCTCTGCTGCTCGGGGAACAGGCGCCTGATGAATTATCAAATACATCTGCAAAGTACAGCCTGCAACGATTCCATCTCTTATACTCCAGTTTTCCTCAAAGCAGGGTCAGAAACCCTTGGGGGTCTCAGATTTTCCCATTTCCCAACATTTTTTTTTTTATCTAGCGCAGCACTATATTTTATTAAGAAGGACAGAATTTGAGTTTCCACTCCCCAAACTGTTGAAAGGGCTCTTTTGTGCTCAATTAAAGCTAAAACTGACTTCTTGGATTCCCATGTCAGCTTCTCGAGTGCTGACTAGGCTGCAACTCGTCCGATGCCCCAATTTCTGAGCATTAGGCTCTCCATGCAGCTCCCATCTTTTCAGAACAAACTCCATACATTTTTAAGCAATCAAATATGATCTTTGTCAGAATTCTTTCTCTAAATGGGAACTGGGCTGCTGAAATATAAATGTGACCTTCACTTGCCCTCTCTTTGGCTCTCATTTCATACACACACAGGACGCTGAGCGAGTCTCCTCAAAGAATAAGTTGTTGCAGTGGACGGGGATGTTAGACACACTCACACTTCCATTATGAATGGGGATTTTGGATTCACTTGTCGCTCCCAGGCATATCCGACCCTTTCGTTGTAAATGAGATTTGTCTCTTGCGGACACGACGTCCCACCTGTGGGGTGATAAAACTGTTTTTTAGACCAACTCATTCAGATGTTAACAGAGGTGGAAAGGTCTACTTAAGCTTTAGCTTTTATGCTTTTTGATGCTTATTTGTTTTCCAAATCAGCCCTGGAGGATGGGCTCCATTTGAAGAAAACATATCTCTGATTTGTCCAACCCCCCTCTGATTTGTGACTTTGATAGCTTTTTCGTGTTCCAGTTAGCAGCTTTAGCGGGGGGGGGGGGGGGCATTTAGAATGCCACTTCATTCTAAATGCGTGCCTGTGTTTGAGAGGAAATAAATAAGTTGTGCTGCTGCTTTTAGATGCCACAGACTTTAGACAAACTTTAAAACTACTAGTGGTTTGCATTAGGTCAGAAGCTGCAAAAAGAACCCGCACTACTTTAAGATGACTGAAGAGCTGTTGGGTAAAAATATCTTAGCTTTCATTAGCACTCAGGCATGCAAGCATGTTAGCATTTTAACGAGAACTCAGAGCTCATATTGTGCACCTCCATATCCTAATAACTCAAAGTGAGTAAATCTTTTTATTTTTAAATAAAATGTATTTATCACCCAACCCTCTAGTAGATGCTAAAGTCCTGCAAGCATAGCCACTGACCAGCCTTTAAGAGGGGGGAGACGATCAGATTCAGAATAATGTGAAACAAGAAGCATGCAGCAGAGAAGACACAAAGTCAGTAAATTAAGCTTGTTTGAGTTCTTTAGGATATCACAAAGCTGGTGAGTGATTTGTTTATTATCTTTTCATTTCTAGATTTGTTTTGAGAGCAAAGACACAGACATGAACATCAACTTTTCAGCTCATTTCACTGTATCAGATAATTTTACCCTCATTTTTAAAATCCCAAGAGTTTGCGTAAGTTTAGGCACTATATGGTCATCTTGATGTTTTGATGTAAACGGTCATAAGACTCATTTAAAAGCAGGGAAGGAAAATCCTTTGTCTTGTTTCTGTACCATGTGCTAAAACAGAAAGGTGGATGGTTATCGCTCCCACTGTGATTGGCCAGGTGTTAGGAGGTGATAAATGAGCCAAGAGAAATGAACTTTTCTTGGTCACCTTTTTCATTCTTTAAAGCTACACTGAAGTTGATTTATTTTGTGTAGACTTTCATTTCTTATCTCTTTGCTGGCCCTGTCATGCAGAAGCAACGTTATATTCTCTATAAGAAGTCTTTGTGATACATTTTCACTTCTAGATGTATCCAACTCATGTGACTCATCTCCACAGTGAGTAAAAAACAGGCACACATCCGGTCAATAGATCCTTTTCTCTGACATCGACTTAGTTGACTGGGCTCTTTTGCCAATCAGAACCATTGCTTATGTTGTGACCGAAAAGCAAAGGTTAAGGAGTACTGGGTTTCAAATGTCCCCAGTGAATGAAGGCCTAACAGTAGTTACCTTGTCTACTCTGTGATGTATTGTATTTATTGTAAAAGGTGTTTTAAAGTTTTACATTCCATGGAAGGTAAATACAATGAATTTTCAATTATACATTATCATTTGCATGCAAGCATATAAATGTAATTTTGTACACATGTAACCAGGCTGGTTAGCTCGGGCTGAAATAGTTTCCCCCTGTTACCAGAGTTTGCTGTTCTATTTTGCACCGACTTATGATGAAGTGATACAGTCCGGTGACCGTGATGATGTGATGACCTTGGACAGCTTCTCCAGTTGGTATTACAATGTGTCCAGGATTAAAAGTGTATCTGCAGTGTGTTGCAGATCTATGTCTGATTTCTCCAAGTTCCCTAAAGACAGGCAAATAAAACACAAGGGGCAGATATTATACTTAATTATATGAGTGCCTAAGTACAATAACAGGTAGATTATGTGTTAATGTTTAAATAATCTACATACTCTTAAACTACCCGTATGGGCTGGCTGGACATTTGGCCGTCTCAGAGGAAACTAAGTCCTAACACTAATTGTGTTAAGAAAAACAACTAGGTATGAAAATTGCTGCTGATGCATCTTAAAGTAAAGAAGGAAGGAACGCACACTATTTTTTGATGCAGTCAGAATGACTGTTATGCTCATTCATACTGAAGACTATTCTGTGTTTCTAACTGAAGCCCTATGTGGACACACATCCATTTTCCTTTACTCAGTTTTCCTGTGATCCTGGGTTAATTGTTTTCTCGATTGATTAATCTCGTTATCTCAGCATAACAATGCAGGTTTTCGTGTGCTGTAGAGTTATTAGATTTTGAGAAAGCGACTGAATTTTATTCCATATCATGAGAAAACAAGCGCTGGTTATCTCAAGATAATGAAATAAATAAATCAAGATCTCAAGAAAAAAAGAGAGGAAATATTATCGTTATCACGAGAAAGAAAGCGGAAGGTCAAATGTATGGATGTGTGTCCTATAAGGGCTTCCATAGCTTTGTCTCATTTATAAATTGACAATGTAATAACATGAACACATAAAGGCTACTACAGCTAATTATGTCTTAAAATGTATTCAATAAATAAATTACGACAGTGAATTACGACAGTAGAAATGACTGACATGGTCATTCTTGCGTTAAGATCAATTCAAAGCGATCACCTGGCCACAGGTATTTTCTGCACGGTCACAGACACACGTGCATGCAAGTGAAAGTGGCGATACTTGAAGAGGTTTGACCGCGGGTACCAGATGCTCAGATCGGGATTCTTGTGTTAGTGTGAGCTGCAGCTCTGCTCAGGCTTTGAGGAGAGAGAATCATTGATGAGGAGAGGAGAGGAGAGGAGAGGAGAGGAGAGCACCTTGCCCTGATCATCTGACGACAGACGGCTCCTCCCCGCTCCCTCCATCCAGTCTCTACACGCAGCAGCGACTCGGACACAACTCTACTCGCGTTTCTGCACACAGGCTCGTCTGCGTGAGCCGGAGACAGAGTCGAGTTATCTACTTTGAATAAACCCGGACTCCGTTCCTCCTCCTCCCCCCTGGTGTCTGCTTTCAAACGAGTCAGTAATGAGAGTGGCTGAGAGCAGAGACGGACGCTTTTCTTCTGTGATGACCAGCAGTGCGCAGAAGTGCGCTCCGTGGTTCAGCACCATCATCATCATCTTCACCATCAGCATCCTCCGCTCCTGAGATCAACCCGAGACCCAAGAGGCGCGCGAAGATCCTCGTCAACCCCCCGGCACGAGGTAAGCAGAGTCTCTCCGTGGATTTCCTCCACTTTGTCTGTGTGCGATACATCTCTCCTGTCTGGAGCTCCTGTGGCTCACTCACATGCTTTCATGCGTCCGACAAAAGGATGTTTTATGCTTGTGAAATCACGGGCGATTAATTGATCATTTATTAATCAATAATAAAGTCATGATTGCATTGCAGCAAGCTGCATCTGACATGTTCCTACATTCATTCATGTGAAAAGAGAGGAGTGTCTTTTCCCAGCAGTTCACGTTTAAATCCTCTCTAATAGAGTATTGATCAAACTAATTAAAATGCTACATCTAATACATTTGCTTTATAAGCTCCCACAAGTACAATCCTCAGTAGATCCTTTGGGCTGTGCCTTTTCAAACTTCACTTTAATGCTTTAATGCATTTTAAGTTTTGGTATCAGGTATTAGAAAATTAAAATTCATTCATAGAAGTTTTAACTGCTGAGGACTGAAATGTCTCAGAGTAAATCCAGCTGGTGTCAAAGGGCAGACACATTCTACCTCTTTCCTGTTGTAGTCAAGCTGTAGCCGTGATGTAGAGGCATCACCTCTCTTGTATCTGCTATCAGACCTACCTACTGAAATTCCAGCAGCAAGGGATTAACCACAGGATGCAAATTGCCACAGGCTGTGCAATTCACCTTTAATTATGTGCATGTGGGTGTTGGCTTACGTGAGCTGGTGCCTTTAGCTGCAGGTTGTCTCAAAGGTGTAAGCCGTGTTTGACTGGGACAAGCTCTTCAGTGAGATTCAAATGACCAGATCTGTTTTTTCTCCTAGCTGCAGCTAGTTACTCTTCTCACAGTGACTGTACAGGTGCTCATTAGCCCGGGAGATGCTGTTCAGGTTTAGAGTGCTCTCTGAATTTACAGAGGTAAATCCCTATTTTGAATGTCTTTCCGTTCATTTTGAAACCAAAAAGCTCTATAATGCACATTTTTGCAGTTATTTTTGGAAAATTTTTGCCTTAATTGGGAGAGCTGAAGAGAGAAGCACAATATTGGGAGGAGAGAGTGTCAGAAGACATGCAGAAAAGGGCTGAGGTTGAATATGAACCCATGGCCGCTGCAACCACGACTATAACGTCTGTACATGAGGCACACAGCATAAACGCTAGGCCATCCGGCACCCCGATTATACATTTTAATAAAAGTCGTAAATGAGTTAAAAGTCAAAAATAAAGATAAATGTTAAACAATGAATACATCAAAAGTCAGGACTGAAAGGCTTTTGCTATAGAGAAGAATGAAATTGGAGGAAAAGTGGGACACAGACGGACATACAAAGGGCAAAAGGTCAACATGACAGAGGGGGGCGCCCTCGTTATTTTCATACCCGACTAATCAACATGAATGGGGCTCCTTTTTACCCCTCATTAAACCGGGACAAATACTTGTTTGCTTTCGTTTGGTCGTGAAACAAAGGTCTGAGCAAAGGTGAAGAGAGACAGAAGACAGTGAACATGATGGGCTGAGGGATTTTTCTGACAGTCTGTGTTCATAAGTCTGGCTGTAAAGATGATGGTGGTCCAGGGAGGAGGTGTCATGATCTCTGAATCCACAAAGAAAACTCAAGGTGTCTCAATGTGATGATGTATGGCTGGACAGACATACAGAGCCAGTGGATGTTACAGCGTCATGCCCAGACAGTTTCATGTTGTAACGCTCGAAAGAGGAGCAGGAAGAAAAACGGTGTTTCATGAACAATTTCCTGTTGTGATGTTTAGTTTGATGAAGTCGGCTCCATCCGAACAAAGAGGGGAGAGGGGGCGAAAGAGACGAACAACAAAACATTTTCTTTTCCTCAAGTTTTTCTAATCAAAAGAAGCAGAAAATAACAAGAGAAGGGGATTAATAATTGATGAGGTTATGTTTGTTGAATTAAAGGAAAACTATTAGCAGAGGCACACAGGGATATTTGTTAAAAATGCAAATTCATTCCAGAGTTTCTCTTTTTTCACGGGGCTTGGTGTGTTGGTTTGGTTCTCCCTCAGGAGATAAAAGAGCTTTTATGAAAGAGGCAGAGTTTTGCTCGTTATGCTCGATGCAATCTCAAGGCCTTCGTTTATGCATTCAAGTCAAACTGAAATTAAAAATGCATTTATTTTTCTCAGGAATCATAATTTATATTGTCTCCTTTGTTTTTGCTCAGTTGTCTTGTTGTCCTGCTGTGCTTGACTCTGGAGGTTGTCATGATACTAGTCCTGCAGTAATGCACACAGTGAAGCGGTTATAAGACTCCTCGTGGTCATATGTTGACAGTTAGGATCTCTAAAATGGGTTCACAACAGAGCAAAAGCTAATGCTAGTTAGCATTGTTCTTGTCATTATACGAGCTATGGTTGTCATGATACCTGGATTCTAAGCTTCCAGACGATACTCACAAAACTCAGATAATATTGATGCCTTATGTAACCATAGCAACAAAAATAAAAGTCCTATAGTCATCAATTTGTGGGCAAATTCCTATTTTTTCTAATTCCTAACCTGGCATTATTTCAGTACCGAAACATTGACAGTGTGTATTTGTGCAATTTTTCTGGTTCTCTTGCTGCAACTATTGGTTAACAAATATGACTGACATGTTTTTAAAGATGTTAATTTGTGTTTTTACTAATGATCATTCAAATAAATGGGATTGTGTTGTTTTACAACACGTGTTATCAAAATATAAACAATTTGACTGCAATATTAGCACACTATTTTTCACTCCCGACTAAGAGGCCCAAAGCTTCACAGTGACGCTGTAACAACCTCTTTGGGGTCAGTTCTGGATAGTCTTCTTTATACTCTTGTTTTGAGATGTCGTTGAAGCAGCGTGACGTTGTAAGAGAGAGCATCAATCTGCTGTCAGTGTTGTTGTACACAAACAAACACACACAGGACGGTCATCAGGGAAGCCACGGTTTGATTCTGATGTTAAAAAGTAGACGTTGACTTATTTGTAAGTCACACATTATAGATGTGAAAGTTTAAATGTTGATTAAATAAGTGCTTATTTTAAACATTTTAGGTGAGATGTTGTCTTTATTGATAGGACAGTTAAAGAGAGGTCAGGAAATGTTGGGAGGAGAGAGTCGGGATAACATGCAGCAGAGGGCCAAAGCCATGAGTCGACCCTGCAGCGGCTGCATCGAGGACTAAAGCCTCTGTTAGTGAGGAGTCTGACTGAGCTAAACCAGGGTCCCATAGAAACCCAAACCATCATTATTCTCCAAAGAAAAGTTAGTAGTTTTACTTCTTATATTTAGAAAAAATGTGAAATGTGTCTTTACACTCTTCTTAAAGGAACTAGTCTGGATTAGTTCTTGTTTAGTTTTGTACTGTATTTCAATCTGTTTAGGTCAGTATTCGTTTGTTTCTCACTCCCTGTGTGTCTGCTCTTATTATAATAGTTACCAGGTTTAGTTTTCAGTGTTTTCAACATACCTTGTGTTTTTTATTTATTTTAATATTTCCATTTTAGTCTGTGGTGTTTCCTGTTTTATTTTGTAGTTCTGGCCCACAGTGCTTCTCTACATTTGCTTCCTGCCTTTTGTGTGTTTTCCCTCCTTTTGGATTGTGTGCCCCACCCTGATTGTCTTCACCTGTGTCAGTAGTCTCACCTGTGTCTGATTACTGCAGTGTGTATTTAGTCTCTGTGTTCCTTCCCTTCGGTGTCAGTGTCAAATGTTAAGCCTTCATCCGGTCGCCGTTAGCTCAGTGTTATTTCTCAGTGAAAGTTTGTGGATTTTTGTAAGCTAAACAGAGTACGCTTTCTTTTTTGACTTTTTGCCTTTTGTTTGTCTAAATACACTTTGTTCTATGACATACCTACACATTGCTCATTGATCAGGGCTAACTAAACATTTTCAAATCTGTAATTGCAAATGTGACTCTTATATTTGATATAATCTGTAAAATAAATAGTGCACACGTTTGGGTTTGCCTCTGAAAACTTGGCAGGTGTCTTTTTTTGGTACTCACTTTATAAAAAGTGGCACCCTTGTGACTCTTAGTTTCACCTCACATATAAAGATTTTGATGCCACTATTTATTTGAACATGACCATCACATTACTTAAAATACATCCAGAATCATTATTTTCTGTATTGTGCAGCTTTAACAGACATTTATTTTTTACTTCAACTTTGCAAGAAAAATCTGCAGAATCATGACAGCTTGCATTTCCTGACACAAAAGTGAGGAGAATGAAAAATGTCATTAAAGATTCCTTTGTTAGAAACGAGCAGGCCACTGACCGTGGGACGGTGTGAAGGAACAGCTTCCACTTGTTACCATAGCGACTGGGTTCAGGAGGACCAGGTAACATAATCTCCTGGACACCCTGTTAAATAGAAGCAGTCAGCTGTCATCAGCCCGATGATTGACTTACATGCGAGGTAATGATGGCTCCGTTTGTCTCGGAGCCGCGGGACTCGTTCATTATGCTGAACAGAACACGTGTTCGGTTTTAAACCGAGCTGTCTGACCAAGATGACTCTCACTCCTGCTGGCTCCTTCTTTTGGGATATTTACTCCAAAACGATGAGGTCACCGAATCACAATCACTCACGCAGCATTATGATGGTAATGTCATTCAGAGGCTAATTTGAATGTGAGTGTGTAGAATTGGCTGTCTCCCCTGTGGACTGATTGTTGATCAGACTAACATTTCATATCAGGCCTGCGGGGGAAAATTAGAGGATTAACAACAACTTCATGCTTATTCCCCTACGCGTCTTCCAGTCCTCTAAATCCGGTGCGAGCCATTGTTATTTTAAGTAGCTTGGCAATTGAGCATGGAAGCAAGCTCTAATTCTCCCAAGCGTTTGGAGACGGGGAGCGGTAGAAGGAGCCGGCCTTTTGCAGTTACCTCCCCTGCTATTCATTCTCTTTCATGATGTGAAAGTGAGCAACAGAGAGAGGGCTGTAAAGCCGCCTGCCAGGACCTCTTCACTCCATTCCTTGCTTCATACATAATAGATAAGTCACTGTAAC